CAAATTCTTTAAAACAGGTTGCATTCGGAAACACGACTTTTAATCGAGATCATATTCAAAAGCACTGATCCTTGAACTCGTAGAAATTGATTGGGACATCGCCGTCCCTTTTGGTTCTCGAGGAACAGACAGGCGGACAAATCCATCACCTGAAGAGAATTTTTTTCTTTCGAAAAATTCCCTTAAAAAAACGGTATGTAAGTCTAATACTACTAAATATAATATGAACTAATATGATCACGATCAGGGGCCCAGGAGGAGGACTTTGGGTGGTAGCAATTAATTCGTTGAGACCTTTCATTAGAGTCCCATGAAGGATAAAAGCAGTTCTCCTTCCCAACCCGCCGATTTTAATTAAAGGGAGAGGGGCGGTAGTTGGTAGAAAACAGTCTTCTAACTTTGTAATTTGGAGTTTAACCTCGAGTTTAAATAATCTCGGGACATACAGTTTGGAAAATTGCGACCTTTCTTATATCCTTAAGATTTTTAAGAACATCCATAACTTTTAAGGCGATTGAACGTTTTTAAATAAAGTGATTGTGCAACATGGGCAGACAGACAAACGAACAGACAGACAGCAATACAACATTATAAACGATCTTGAAGATCGTTAATAAATAATTACATGTTCATATAATTATCATATTTTACGCATATCTTCCCTTTTGAGCGCATTTCCATAAAAAATTCGCTATTGTGGCCACTTTGTCCCTTCATCCGTCTGTCCGTCCGGTCGCTACTACATCTTTATCTTAAGAGCTATCGATTTACTTTTTTCGCTATTTGGTTCGTTATGGAGTCGAGGCTTGCACCAAGGAAGGAATTTTTATGCGTTTCTTACTAAAAAAAGTTATAGTAAAAAATTAATTTTTTCATGTGCCATAATTTTACAAAGAACATGTGGATATCCGGATTTTCTATGTTAGTACATATTCCTTAAACCTCAAGCAACTATGCAAACGAATTTAAAAAATTTGCGCATGCACAGCCCAGCTTTGGCACTTGCGCAATCCAATTTTTTATTTGTTAAAAGACTTGCACCTCCAATAAAGGTAAAATTAATACCAAATTAAAAAATTTGTTTTACAAGCTATGCTAATCTGAGGGGACAGAATTAACCCCTTAAGGAGGTGTGTTGTAAAATTAATGCATTATCGTTCAGTATTCAGATGTATGAGATTTTTGTGCTTATAAATTCTATACGCTAAGATGATTCTTATAAAATCAAGTTGAAATGATATGTCAAAGAATAGGTTGTGCATGCGCAGTGTCAACTTTCTTGTGGACGAATTTTTTTGTTAAATTGCTGAAAACGAATTTGGTTAAAGTAACTAATTTTTTCGGACAAAGACTGTTAATGTGGGAATGCGCTTTTTGTAAATCGTTTACTATTACTTTTTGAACTTGTTTCTATTATCCATTTTCTATTCCTCTTCCACATACTCTGCATATCGTTTCTTCTTCTCTCCCTTGTCCTTTTCCCTCTCCTCGTTTCCGCATCTGAACCTCGCTATTCTGTTATGTTTTTCGTTTGCGGCACCCCCTCCGTTGTACCTCCTGTTTCCTTGTCTGGGGTTATGCGTAGTATATACAAGATGCGGCAGCAGAACTTCCTTTTTTAAAATGCGCGCCAATCAGTTGGTTGATGTGGCGGAGCGCTAGTGGTCTCGTTTGAGAGGGCGGACTATAAAGTTTTGTCCCGGCACAACTGAACTCAGTTGCCACACTTTGGAACAGTGAGAGCGTGCTTTTTGCCGTTGAGGCGTACTTTTCGAGCAAATATGCTGTGATCTCAACCCAGCGCGCCTTTCGGAATCGCTTTAACTTAGCCTCGTTGCCGCGAGTGCCCTTGGACTGTCCGATTGTTCTCTGAGGTGAATTATTTATCATTTTCATTCCCATCTCTACAAGATGGCGATTGTGCTGGAACTTTCTGAACGTGACTTCAATTCTCGGATGAGCGTGTGTGAGGCTCTTCTCGAAGTCGTTCCTGAGAACGCTATTTTTTTAGCGATGAAAGTCTTCATTTGTGTGATGCCGTCAACAAGCAAAACATGCGCTACTGGACTGACACCAATCCTCGAGAATCGCATCAAAGGCTTTTGCATTCACCTAAAGTTACAGCGTGTGCATTTTCCTCCGCTAGACTCATTGGTCTCTGGTTTTTTGAGAAAAATGAAGTGTGCAGTGACAGTGAATTCGGACTGCTGTGTAAACGTTACAGGAATTTATTTCCCACGGTTAGCTTAGTCGGACTTGGGGGACATTAGGTTCCAACAAGACAGTGCAACGGCACACATTTCAAGAACATCGATGGCTCGCTTCTCTGGGCGCCTCATTTCAATTAGAGGCGCTTTGGAGGGCCGGCACGATTTCCCCATTTGGCCCATTGTGATTTTTTCTATGGTTTGTTTTTTTTAAATCCTCATGACTCATATGGAGTCAAGGCTCTAACAAGCCAAGATCAATTATGTTTGATTGACATTCGATGGCAATAAGGTATCGTAGAATAGAGTTTTTTATGGAGAGTAAAAATATGTATTTCTTTTATTTCAAAGGATCAGCAAATAATCCAGCGCATTTGCACAGAATAAATTTGATTCCCTCGGCACAGTGCACGTTTTGTAATTATGAGGTAGCAGATTTGAATCATTTAGTGCTCGCCTGTCCGCAGAATACAAATTACACGAATATCATGATGGAAGACTTAACTCAAGCTGGGTTTGACACTCCCTCTCGATGTACCAACAATTCTAAGTACCAACGATAAGGGAGTTTATGACATTTTAGTCCGTTTTGTAGCTGCAAGTAAACTACCGTTGTAATTGTAACCCGTATTATGTCATCCTTATGTGCTACCAACCTTCCGTGGCCTACCTATATGTTTTGTGTGAAGTCGCTTTGATCGGCCCCAAAGCGTGAAACGTATAAATCCTTGTTTAGTCCTCTGGTTTCTCTAATGTAGGCTAAAATGGGCAAGATCCCGAAAGCCTTAAAAAAAAAAGATGTCCCCATCTTCTTTAGCAAACAGCGCTATTATATCGTTGAAATCAGTTGTGATACGTTAATTGATAGATGTAGACATGCTGGGGGGTTTCAACTTATTTGAGAAATTTTCCCATCCACAAAATAATGAGTTGCTTTGGTTAATGAAGCATTTGTATGTGCTTGATATTCACCTCAGTGGGACTGCACGAGGATGTTATTGTATGACCCTCATAAGTTAATTACAAAAATGTCTGGTTACGATTGAGACAATATGAATTGCCAGTAGCTAAATTTTGTGTTCAAATTTTGGCCGTCTTTTATATTATTACAACACTACACATTCTTTGGCGGCGGCGATTTATTGCATTAAATAGGGAATTACAAAAAAACCACTTCTTACAACATCTCTCGTGCGCTGTTTCGCAATCTGCCGTATCATTTTGATATTACTTTGTCCTCGATTTTGTCGTGGGCAGAACCAAATCAAGCGGAACCGTACCTTATTATCAACTCGTCCTTATTTTATTCGTGTCACGCCTTTCAATACTGATGAAATGCCATTTAATAAATAGTACATTGATGTTACATATTTCATTTGGTTGAAGTCCTATACAAACTGTTAACATTTAAAGGCCTACTGAAACCTGTCATATTTTGTGTACGCCGAAAAATTTCAATGTAAATACTTGCGTCTTTTGAAATAGGGAATGTTCTAAATTTGGATCTTTGCCCCCACGGGTTTTGTGATATGAATGGAAAAGGGACTGCAACTGAAAAGTTATTTGTATATAGAAGGATATTTTGTATATTTCTTAATTTAACTTTTAAAAGGCGTACGTTCCCATATAGTTTACGTGTCAGAGCTTACAATTTCAACGGGAATTTTCCTGTCTTAGAAGTTACTTCGGTGACTGTCAAATTAAGCTTTTCCAACGAACAGATCTCCCGACGTATTTTGAAAGGACCAAGTCGCTCGGGAAGTTTTCTCTCTATTCCTCAAGGGAACTTCTCGGCTTCCATTCTGTCATTCCAGATGTACCTAAAGCTTTCCGTTAAAAATATGTTAATGTAATATACTAACATCTACTAATAATTCTAAACACAAGTGCTAATTGATCCTCAGATTGAAATTTTTAGTCGATTGCTACTTGATGATGCCGACAATATCTATCTGCGATGATGTTTGCAATTTATAAACGATTAAAGGGTAGCAATTCACCGCTGATTATTAACTGGCCCAAAATTTAGTTCGGGTTCTTACAAAGACTCTGTTTACCGAGATAAATGAAAACTAGGACCCTTGAAGTACAACTTCGCAATGTTTTTCTTGTTCGTTGACGTTCTTACCATCCTTGAGAAGATATTTTTGTGCCTAATCTTATCTTTTACTATCTCTATTTAAGTCCATTGTTGATTTTTATTGTTTATTCGACCTGTTTGTAGAAGTGCCGTTTTTTATGCGTCTTTAACCACGCTTGGGTACTTTGAAAATAACCCAAATTACAAGACCGATTCGAGTGGAAGAGCGGAAACTTTTTAGGCGCAATCGTCTATCAAAGTCCACGGTTGTTCCATCACCTGTAATCGTTGTCGGGCATCACATGTGATCATACGTGAATAAACAGTGATAAGTATGACCAGAAAGCGAATAGGTTCATAGTTCTCAAAAGCTCGTCTTTTCCGGCAAGGTATATCTCAGAAGGGAGTATAGGTACTCAACGCTCATCGGATGTTCTCAAGTGTAAAGATTGCCACTTTTTGAACAAACGGATGATAATATCGCACCATGACTACCTCACTGTGGAAACATTTTGCTCCCAGCTTTAGGATTAAGTAAACTGTAGTTTGACAACTGATATATGATACAATATAACTGTCTCTCAGGGTGCGAATGTACCTACCTTGCTCAGCGGTGCTACTTTATCAGTTTTACGCAAATACAAATGCTTGATTGTAATAACAGTACATTATCTTATCCCAAGTTGTTTCTAAAAAACTCCATTTTGTTTCAGAACTCCATCTCCATCGCTATACTAAATGCGGGTCATCTGGTAACTGATACTTTCCATTATGAATGAATCAAATGAATTGAAAAGCGTTACAATTAATCTACCCGACGACAATGAGTTCGATAGTTATCAAGAGGGAAGCGCAACGTACAAATCCAGCAATGTGCGGTCTCCACCGCCAAGGGAACTGGAAATACTTAACAATACCTTTAGGTAAGTCTATTCCTTTTTTGCGGATTACATGTATTAAGGAATTTTGCAATAATTCGTTTTTTCCATAAAATCATACCATTTGGCAAGTGCGTTTTCCTTTAATTTTAGATTATAAAAATACGGTTAACTCACTACTTATGTTGTTCAGTTTTATTTATATTTTATTTATTTATTTTTACTTGAAACAATGCGTCGTATCACTGAATGAAATTAATTAATTGAAATTTCTACATCGAATGTTTTACAAAGTACCTAATTAGGCTCATCAATTGCTTAATACTTTTCACGGTACGTTCATTAAATCATTAGTTCAAAGAACTTTTGCTTATTTGCTACTTGACCTAAAGCTAAATGTCGGAATTGTAGCCAATTTATGCTCGTGAATCCTCAGCCATTGTACTTAGCCTTTCGACTTTAAACCTCCGCTAGTAGGAGTACAAGTACGATCCTTCGATAATTAATTAAAGATATTTGGCTTATTTCATTCATTCACGTTTCAAATATGCATTACATAATTAATAAGTGAACTGTCCTTGTCTTCATACTTATAATACTTACTCATGTTGTGCGATTCGAAATATTTCAGAGGGAATTTTTAATCATTAACTGATTTATTACCGTGACATACAAGCAAATTGTGGAACATTCCAACCCTTTTCCCCTGCCAACTCATGAGGATAGTTGTGTGTTCTGATTATCCTGATGCCAGAACCTCTCTTGGATGAAATTTAAGTGCGAGACACCTAGTGGAAATATCCAAATTTCTAACCAAACCTCCGTTGTTTTTTTTTACTAAATAGCTATTCATTGAGAGCATTACTATAGTTAAATGTTCTTAATATTGCCTGTATAAATGTAACTGATCATTTATTGATGTTCGTGCGTATTATGTTGTTACTACACTACACATTTAGCGTACATACAATCTTCGAACGTTGCAAACTTCATAATAATGTGCATCCTTTCAGCGAATCACAAAACAATATATGCAATGGTGCGATATCGAACGCAATAAATGGAAGTGGTCTTAAGAAGGTACCAAACAGTAACCCAACCAACCAGAAGAGGCCTATGATAGCATTGACACATTTACCGAAAAGGCCGCCTGTAGATATACAATTCATAGACCTTTCGTATTCCGTATCGGAAGGAAGGAAGAAGGGGTACAAGAAAATTTTGCAATCGGTCAATGGAAAATTTAGATCTGGGGAACTAACCGCAATCATGGGTCCTTCGGGAGCTGGCAAAAGTACCTTAATGAATATTTTGGCGGGTTACAAGTAAGTGGTTTTCGACGTACGATCCCGGTTAACAGTTAATTTTCAGAACATCAAATTTGGAAGGCTCGATATTAATAAACGGAAAAGAAAGAAATCTGCGCAGATTTCGTAAAATGTCTTGCTACATAATGCAAGACGATTGTTTAACGCCGAATTTAACAGTAAAAGAAGCACTGAGGGTATCTGCAAGCTTGAAAATTGGTAAAGACCTGACAGTAACTCAAAAAGAAGCAGTGATAGAAGAAGTGATCGAAGTTTTAAATTTAAACGACTGTGGCAGCACATTAACCTGTAGCATATCCGGTGGTCAACGCAAACGACTATCGATAGCTTTAGAGCTTGTTAATAATCCTCCAGTTATGTTTTTTGATGAACCCACAAGTGGACTAGATAGCTCATCTTGCTTCCAGTGTATTTCATTGTTAAAATCATTGGCAAGAGGTGGAAGAACTATAATATGTACAATACATCAACCGTCCGCTAGAATCTTTGAAATATTCGACTACTTATACATGCTTACCGAAGGCAACTGCATTTACAAAGGTATCATCATGGGTCTTGTTCCGTTCCTTTCCTCAGTCGGCCCTCAATGCCCCAGCTATCACAATCCGGCTGACTATGGTAAGTTTACCTTCTTACAAATGCAACAAGCTAACAAATCCGTTTTAGTACTGGAGGTGGCTTGCGGTGAACACGGGGATTACCTCCAGAAACTTATCACTGCTGTGAAAACTGGAAAGTGCGATAAGTTCGATCAGAAAACGCCAGAATGTAACATGGTTACCACCACAATCACAAACGATATATCTAAGGAATCCAGTCCATTACCTTCCAGCAATAAAACGTTGCCGGTACCTAACGGTGTCAAACAACCTACCACAATAAATTCGGGAGCGACGTGTACGACCGCCCTCCTAGATTCGGCGGAAAACCTGCAAATGTCGGAGAACGTCGCCAGATTTCCAATTTCCGGATGGTTACAATTCTGGATACTACTAAAGCGCATCGCCTTCACAACTCTGAGAGATACTCAACTGACGACAATGCGGTTAGCGGCATATTTTGTGATAGGGTGTCTTTTGGGTCTAATTTATTACGATATTGGTAACGACGCTTCGAAAGTGATGAGCAACGCGGGGTTAATATTTTTTACAATAATGTTTATAACATTCTCCGCTATGATGCCAACGATATTAACATGTGAGTATTGCGGGAAAAAATCCGCTCGGTACTTATTACGATTTTAGTTCCATTGGAAATGTCCGTCTTTATACGCGAGCATCTCAACTATTGGTACTCCATAAAGGCCTACTATTTCGCTAAGACTGTGGCAGACATTCCATTTCAAGTAAATCTCCATTACTCCAACAACCCGCACGATTAACTAAACTATTTTTTCAGCTTCTGTTGACAATATGTTACATGATGAGTGTCTACTACATCACATCACAGCCAATGGAACCGATGAGGTTCGGAATGGTGCTGTTAATCGCCGTACTAACGGCGTTAGTATCTCAAAGTATTGGTCTTCTAGTCGGTGCTGCCTTCAACGTGGAAGGTGGCGTATTTATTGGCCCGATCGCGTCAATTCCTATGGTGCTTTTGTCTGGATTTTTTGTAAACTTAAACGATATTCCGGTTTATATTCGCTGGTTACCATATGGTAGTTACGTCAAGTATAGCTTTGAAGGTATTATGATAGCAATTTACGGTTTGGATAGACCTAAGCTACAATGTAACCAAATGCTGTGTATATTTAGAACTCCAAAAAAGTTTTTAGATCAATTATCTTTAAAAGACGATTTAAACACATACTTAATAGACGTAGCTGTTTTGAGTGCTATCTTTATTTTTATTAGATTTTGCTTATTCTTCGTACTAAAGTTGAAGATACTTGCCAACCGATAAGAATAAACAAAACTACAATCATGTGATAGATATAGTTTTAAGTGCATGTGATATTTAATCAAATTTTTAGTTTAGTACTACCAATTTTTGTATTGTGTTTTATTTATTTTCAAGAGATTATTAGGAATTTCTACAGGAGCCTAAAATATTTGCATAATACGGTTAAACCTTAGGTATTACTAAATGTGTCCAAAATCATTATATACATTCCATCACTATTAAAATATTAGTCTCAAATTTTAGCTTTTTATGTTAGTTTCTAGATGTACATTTTTATACCGCTTCACCATAAAACGTTTATTGCAAATGAACCACAATATTAAATTTGCTCATACATTTGCAATGTACTTTAGATGTAGAACTGTTGTTATTGTAATATGGCGATTGTTTTTTACATTTTACCAAAAATAATAAGTCATAGTCATTGTAGTGGTTTTTTTTACAATTGTTCAGGTTACACAAAACTCTCTTCTGCGCAGCCTTTAGGTGAGTATTCACATTTTGATACGAAAATTTCCAGTCGTCTACTAGTATAGTAAGAACACAAACGTCAAAAAAGTAGTCAATGTTAATTGTTATGGTAAAGCAGCCCACAAACTAAAGATACAGACGAACGACTGCGATAACGTTCAAAATATCTGGAAATTCTATAAATCAGTTGAAAAAAATTGGGTCCTGTCTTGGCATAAGTAGGTTAATGCAGACACTCTACATTGCCCCCTCCTTAAAACTTGCGTCTTAAATATTGCAGTTCCAAAAATCAAAGCAGTTAATTTCGGGCATATGCCTCATTAGAACCGAGCATGCGGTGTAGGAAAACATTAGCAGAGGGCAGTTCAAGGCTAAATGAAAAAAGAGAACTATTGAAGTGAAATTCCAAAGGTAGGGGAAAAAAAGTGAGCGGTTTCAACGTTTCATTGAATAGGTGTTTGCCCTATTATGGTCCACAAATCACTGTCTTCAAACTAATTTCAGCACTATTGCTAACTTGGTAATTGTAAATAATACAAGGGTTGGTTCAATTAGGGAACTAGTGTGGTTTTACGCCGATTACTATGGCGAAGAATAATTGACAGTCCCATTATCAAAATCTCGACAAAAACGCCCTTTTTCTAAATGCGTAAATTGCTTCTTAAAAATACAATGTGCATAACTGAAAATTACACAATTGTAACATAACAATATTTGTCAACTGCTTGAAGACCTAATTTATTTTATGAGAACCGAATTCATATTTCTGAATTAAAGACATTAGAAATTTAAAAATTGTCAATAGCTTCCTTATTTTTGACTTTAGAACAACATGACATAATGAAAAGTTTAGCTTTGGTTTAAGAAACTGTGGCCGCAAACCACATAGGTACCTACAAAGTTAGCTGAATCAACGATTGGGTTGAAATCAATTATCAAAGCGAATTTGATTCGACAGAAAGCGTCAGAAACAATGAATGAATGAAGCACATTATTTTTTGCCGACTGTAAGTCAACCTAATTAGATTTTAACAAAAGAGGTAGACGTATTTTAGATTTCAATGTATGTTCGAGGCGTACAATTCTAACTTCTAACAAACCAAAGCTTTGTGTTGACGATGTAATTTTCAACCTAGTGGGGATACCTATTGTATACAAGCATGAGAATTTGAAACCTTTTTTGCGTGGGGGTTAAACAAATTTTTTGTACGTTTTAGAGAACGAATTCCACCCTCGAACTGTCTCAATGAATAGCAGACTATAACAGCGTGTTGCATCGACAGACGGGACATAGGAAATCCCATGTAAATTTAAAGGAGGTTATTAATTATTGGCTGCCCTAATTATTTTAAAGGAAAAATGTATTTAGGTTATTTGAAGAGCATTAAAATCACTGAGCAGCAAACATGTCTGATACTTCCCGATAACTATTTCTTTGATAATACCATTTGATCATCAATACTTTCTCTTTAGTCGTGTAATTCATCGCTAATAATAGAAATAAAGCATTAAATTTCAACAAACTTCATTTGGCAGTCAACCTTTACCTCAATTGTTCCCTGTAAGTACTGAGAAATTACTAAATATTTTTGCCAATATCTCGTTACGTGGTTAATGAAAAATATCGAAAGTTACCCTTTTAGATGCGAATTTTAATGCTCTAAAAATAACCTAAATAGATTTTTCCTCTAAAATAATTAGGGAAGTCAATAGTTAACCTCCTTCAAAATTACATAGGATTTCCTATGCCCCGTCTGGCGATGCAACACGCAGTATATCCCTCTAGTAATTACAGCCAAGGCTGCCACAGCCGTCACTTCTTAAATATTTCTATTAAACTATCGGCAATTTGGTTACCTACTAAAAAGTGACTGTTAAATTCATACAGGTTGTAATCAGCAAAATAATCACTTCAGTAGCATCCAGCAAAACCTTTGGTCGTTTTTTGTTCAGAAATGGATCTATGATAAATCACGATTTTGACATTTCTCTTTTATTTTATCATAATTCAGGTAGCGACTTCATTTGATTTTTCTTAGCTCACACAAGAGCCAAGAAATGTCTATGCAGTCGTTCTTTTAACAGATCCTGAAAACATTCATCAGTTATTAGAAGTTTTGACGACATCGAGGCTTCATAAGTTACCATAACGTTTTCTCATGGTTGTCAGTCTCCTGATCCTGAGTCATTCATTAAGGGTATCTAACCAATAATCTCAAAAATACTCTATGACAATCCAACAACCTACTACATTATTCTAAACCCTACAATAATTTTTGTTTATCTTTTGGAGCTCATTTACAATCTGAATATCAAATAAGTTCCTTCCCAGGCATCCGGTAAAGTAGGAAAATAAGGATACAGTGAAAGGTATTACCTTGCCGAGGCATTTGTGAGAGTAAGAAATATAAACCCATGTCCAAATTTGCAACATTGTCCCGTCACGAACCGCACTGAGATCCGTGCGCCAGTGTGGACGACATACCGAACTCCATCGCGAACCCGGTAAGGGTTGCAGATCGAGGTTTGCCACGATCCATGAGTTGTGGGTTTTTCGACGATATATCAAAGGGAAGATTGCGGCGCTTGTGTGTACGCGATGTTCGGTTCCAAACAATTACTAAGTGCAGTACGGTTCGAGACGGTCCTGGTTCGCCACGGGATAATGTTGCAAATGTGGAAAAGGGAATGAAATCTTTTTGTAACTGGGATCGTTACAGAGGCGATAAACAGAACATATCAAAGAATTTGGTGATCGCCCAAGAAAAAGATAACATCAATAAAATGGATCACCAAGTGGTCATGAAAGGAGAAAATAAGCGCAATTAGGAGAGGGATTTGCATTTCGTCAGGAAAAAAATCCCTTTCGGCCCGGCCGATCAGGTCTAGGTAGATTTCTTTCCGGCATTTTGTTCAAATATCCTGGTACCATTACAATAGGTAGATAAATAAAAATCTAAGTACCTAAAAATACTGATGAGAAACTAGCACTGTTTGCTAAATAGACACTACATTATATATTCGTGGAAAAGCCTTCCCACTTTTTCCGCAGTATCCATAATAAACAAACCCTTTCGTCGCAATGATTGGAAGTGTTTTTCCTCTACTTATTCTTGTACTTTGTATTCTTGATACGGCAAGTTGTATCAAGGGACTGAGTTTCGGATTTTTCGAATGTAAATAAGTCGATACATACTTTAGAGCATCGTCGACTGAAAATTATGCTCTTGATCGAAATATAACTGAACGTAGCATCGATTATTCGGCCTCGATTACTTTAATACATACTACACCCACCTAGATACCCACACACTTCATTATGTTTAGAACCCAATCGAACACAAGGCAATTGACACGAAGTAGCCAATTATCGACCCATATCTATTGTATCAGCATTTTCAAAAGTTTTTGAGAACTGTTTAGGCGCACGTTTGTGCCACTACTTTGAACATTTTCGTCTACTCCCACGGGATCCTCAACACCGTAGCAGATAGCGCTCATCAAGCTGTGGACAGTATGACCAGTTGGTGATCTACCAATTCAACTAAAACTAAACAGCTATTGTTTTTTATCGTAATGCCCATACTGCCATGATAATCATGAATCCGCCAATACAGCGCTCTTGTGAAAGATTCTTAAGGGTCAGGCTACACGAAAACCTCAATTGGACGCATATAGTTACAGTATACCTAGAATACCCCTCGAATGTGGTTAATCCCCCCCCCCACCCCTGAAAAACAAGATTTCGACACGCACGGCTTATTATATATAACACCATGTATATTCGCACTTATGCAACTTCGGGAGAAATCAATAAACTGCCCCATAACTTAGACTGTTTTAACATTTTTTACAGTCATGTCTAAATTGTCTATTTACACATATCTGTATTACCATTTCGACATGCCAATATTACATGAACCTAATCTTCACGGAACTAAAGTAACTAATTACTTAACTAATACAATATCGTTGTCATTAGGTTTTCTGGACATATTGTCAGGTTCAACAAGGACCTTTAATCGCAACGAATGACGCAATAATTTCGTTATGGCTTGGATGGAAGTTTACAGCAAAGAAGATCTGCCATTTTTCTCGCATAACTCCAATCAATCTCGTTCTTTGGCGTAACGAATACCGCTTTTCACAGAAAAAGAAGGAGCCACAGGCGAATTTGCTGCACGGAATTTTAATTGCACTCAAAAATTCAGGTTTGTGACATAATCTTCAATTTTATTTTTAATAATACCATTTTTTTCATAAGCGTGGGGCACTTAGAAAGTGAATGAGATTTCGAATTCAAAAGGAAGAGAAACTTCTTAATTACAGGAACTTAGTTTCGCATCAATGATAATGATGATTTGATGAAAAATACTTCGTAATGTCTGTGTATGCCATTGATGACTCTAAGAACGCTTTAGACCAGGGGTTCCCAACCTTTTAGCAACTGCGTACCACATGAAAATGTTTAAAGATTTTGGCGTACCACCATCTTACATTTTTATTACGGCTGACACGCATACAGAGGTTCTTACACGTAATCGCTTGCTTTACCCACGCAACGCGTACCACTTATAACGTTCTCGCGTACCACCGGTGGTACGCGTACCACCGGTTGGGAACCCCTGCTTTAGACATTATTTAGTTGTATTCCGTCGCTTTCTCCGATATCAGAGTGGTTAC